TACTGCAAGAATTTCCCTGAGGCGGCTCCAGATGCAACAGTGACAAACCTGTTATCATAAGTTAGAAGCATCAGAACAAGGATGCAGTTAAGTTTCTAACGTGAACAGTGACAATTTGATGTAGCGGTCCAACTATACCTGCAAGGAATGACAATGTCGCCCTCGCACTCTACAAGACTGTGGCCACTTGTGGACTCAACGATCCTATCCACTTTCGAGTTAAGATATAAAACACCTGCCTCCACACACCTAAGAAGATTAATGTGAATTACAACCTCAATTGTAAGGAATAAATCAACAACTCGTATGACATAAGGAACAAGTTCAGTGAATTTAACCTTTTGAGTAACTCCTCATGCAGTAAATGGCGACTAACTCTTCCATAAGCACGTCCAATAAGAATTGGATCGGCATCATCAAGATATACAATGGTATCACTCCAAACATGTTCAATGCATGCTTGAAGCCCAAGATCTGAAAAAGGAAAGTATAAGCATATGTCTAAATTAAGCTCCAGAGAACAAGAGGTTCTGTTTCTTGAAAGGTTATGTAGAGAAAAGGACTCTTCATAAAAGATAAATAAGGATTACGACCTTTGAACTCGTCTTCCCAGACACCATAGTTATTTGTGAAAGGAAGATCAGGACCAACGAGCCCCACGTTCAACCCGAGTTTAGCAGACTCCGCAGCAAGAGCAAGACCAGCAGGACCACAGCCAATGACCACTAAATCCAGTATAGTTTGTCCAGCTGATGATATTTGTCGCAACTGCAAGCTGAGATAGTATGATGGACAAAGCAATATAGTTTGCTACAATATAAGAGTTAAAATAAATTGCAGACATAGTTGCTGCAGTATGGTAGTTTTTCTAGCTTCTTCATTTCTTTCATATTGCATAACTCTAACTCACATGGAATTCAATGTGTGGTAATTTGGAATAGTTTAGTAATCGCGAATATAAGGTAAAATACACTGATAGTGTAAGATTTTGTCACACTACCACTGTACACTATAAGTTTGTTTCCTTTTTAAACAGAATTTGACTTTAATTAGCTGAAAGTGTAAAAGAATATTTACACTATCAAGTTACCTAAAGATAACTATAGGTAACTACATTTACAATAAGTGGAACTGATTACCTAAAAAATAAAGCAATTAACCTGTTATAACAGGTTAAATTACATAGATATTGTTAAAAAATTTATACTGACAATGTATACAAGTTAAAGGATAACCTTACAACAACAGTAAAGTTGTCTCCGTGTGACCAAAGGTTCAAACTATGGAAGCAGCCACTAATACTTGTATTAGGTAGGCTATCTACATCACATCCCTTCGGACCCGGCCCTTACCCAAACCCTGCGTGAATATTAATGCGGGATGCTTTGTGTACCGAACTTCCCTTCTAGGGGTCGCATGGTACGATAGATTAGCAAAAATAATCATGGGATAAAAATTTAGTAGCGCCTTATCCCTTATTTGGTTACTAAGCTCGGAATAAGTTATCCCATGATTAAAAATAGTATCGGGATAACTTATACCTACCAGAGGTTGGAATAGTAATCATAGGATAAGTTATCTGGGAATAAAACATTATATTTGACAATCATAGGATTAATAGAACATACCAAACAGTCAATAAGAAATAATAACTAATCCCAACATAACTAATCCCACTATAACTAATCACACCATAACTGATCCTGACATAACTTGTCTTCAAACCAAACGACCCCTTAATGTATACAAGTTAAATCCTTTTAAATATGGGATCAAGAAAATCACCTTATCAGAAAGCTTAGACTGTAGATCCATGTCTTTATTCTGCTGCATTTGAACAAAAACAAGTTCTGAACCACCAGCTTTTATATAATCTTCTTCATCAGCAAAATCTTCTTTAACCACTACACAACTATCACTTCCACTACACTTCACTTTCATATGTATAGGCCAAAATGGTTGCTTTTTTCTTGGCATAATTCTCTTTCTTCCTAATGATTTGAATCTCGGACACGTAAAAACCGCCATTGTAGAAAAATTTCGAGCTCCAATACACTCCATGTTTGAGCTCCAATTTATATATAGTCTTTCTTTGACTCCTCTGGTTTATTTTTCTTTTCTCAAGATTTTTCAAAATTTGAGATTTTCATTCATTCTTTTGGTTTAATGGGGTTATGAAAATTGAAAATGCATGAAATATTAGCAAGAATTGAAGCTGAATTAAAATGGAGTTTTGTGAGTCTTTGCTGGTTTTTTGGATGGACAGAGAGTGAAGATATGGATAGGAAGGAGGGAAGCTTTTTGCTGATGTGTTCAACTGTCATTTCACAATAATGACACGTGGATGGATTTGATTAGCTGCAGTTATTTCGTTCCGAAAATGTTGAGACGCTTTTTTTTTTTTGAATTATTTTTTAATTTTCTATTGTGTTTGATACTTTGATTGCTTTGAAGTTCTCTAGAAAATTGATCAACATTGGCGTTGTTTTCAAACATGTGAATAAATTTCTGATTTTTCTTTTTTCAGTTTTTAGATTTTTTAAACCCAAATATTGTCAAATAAGTCTTTTTATTTTTTTAGAAAAAGGAAAGTTTGAAAGGAACTTAAAAAAAACAAGAGGCATATTTTCTTGTACTAGTTTTGGGGTACGCGCTTTGCGTGTGTACCTATATTAATAAGCATACAATTTTTAAAAATTGTATAAATATTGTTGAATAATGTGTTTGAGTTATCGGACAAATATCAAAGAAAAAATATAAATTCGTACAAATGATGAATATTAGCATAATCTATTCAATAGAGCCATGTCTTTTAGTAATTAAATACAAAATGTAGTTGTATATTAAAACAAACTATATATTTAGTCTACACCATGTTTGTGTCTTCTCAAAGGAACTTGAGAATAGCTTTCGAAAAGAAAAGGTCGGATTTTTTTTAAAATCTTCAAGAGCTATATATTTTTTTACTAAAACTAAAAAGAAAGTATAATAACTTATGAAATTGAATTTATAAAATAATAAATTGAAATATAATTTAAGAAGAATATATTGAATAATGATTGAGGACTTTCAGGAACAAACTTTTTCCTTTTATTGAGTTAGCTATATATGATCGATATTCAACAATTTCAGAAGCTTACACTTTATTTTATTACTCAGACACAAGTTTTAAAAAAATATGTAAGTATCATACAAAAAATTACTGTTTGAGATGGGAAGCACACGCAAAAAATATAAGTTCCTAAAAAGATACAAATTATTTCAAACTTTTCTCCTACTCAAACAATATATTATTCTCTTATCAAAATTACTCTTTGAGATAAGAAACACGGGCAAAAAATATAAGTTTCTAAAAAGATATAAATTATCTTCAAACTTTTGTTCTATTCAAACAATATATTATTCTCTAATCAATTTGTGGAATATTAAAAAAAATACATTTAATAATTAAAATAAATATTTAATTAGGTACAAAATCTCTTACTTTTAATAGTAACTATATAGAAACATCTAGCCTTCTCCCATGGAGGGTTTATCATCCACTAAAATTCCAACTATATCTATAAAGAATATCAAAACAATTATATGTATATTACCCAAAAATTAATAAGGAGAATAAAAGTAAAATATTGTTTGTATATTTAGTGAAAGATTACGGGATAAAATCTAAACAACTTACCAAAAATTATTCCATTGGTGCACTTTGATGTCTCATCAAATGAAATAAAATTATTTGAAAAATCAATGGTCGAAAAGTGACTATTGCTTTCTTCAACTAAAGTATTTTCCTTAAATCCAACTCAAGCTCCTTGTGCACCTTTGAAAATTAGGATTAGCATTATTGATGCGTCCATTTATGATATAACATATCTTATTTTATTGTAAATAATTTTTTCACAACTCAATATAACCATTGAAAAGTGTAGCGTGAATTTTTGTTCCCCGTAGAAGTTTCACTGTAAGTTAATCTGATGGTTAAAACTATAATATGAAAAGACATGCATGAAATAAAATATTGATATAAAATAACAATTACCTCTTCGTCAACTAAGGTCACATTTTTCGGGTGCCTTGATTTGTTTTATTGTTGAACTCTTCTACTATTCCACTCCCAAACACTACACTCGTATTATCCAACATGATTCAGATACTCTTAGACTAATAATTGGGACACATTGGCCTAACAATTCTTTTTCATTGGTCATTGCAAGTGTACCTAAAATAAAGCATGCATAAGGGTTTTATAAGTTATCAAAGTGGCTAATACAATAATTGATTATTTTTATGATGTAAGAAAGATTGTTTACCTGAACGGATGTAATTATTGAAATCTGAGTGATTCAAGCATGGCAATTGCAATAACGCAAATCATGGAGTATTAATATAACACAGAATTAAATCAGATAGTCTAATTTTTAATTCTTTTTAAAACAAGCAACTTGAGCTGGCATAGCAATTATAAGTATTATTAATTATACAACAAAGGAAAAAATAATACTAATATTTAAGTGATAAGACTTAGATCAAATGTCTAACTGATGCAATTTTTCAATAACCTGTAATAAATTTGTAAATTATGTGAGATGTGAAATTAGCCAAGTCAAAAATATGAAACAAAAACTATATAATAAAAAATTATTGGTGCAACAATAAAAATAAATTATTGATGCAACACTAAAAACGGTGCATGCAAACGTGCTTGTAAAATACGAAGTAGCAAAAGATGTTGATATATTAGTAAAAGAAACAACACCTGGAATCGTGATGTTGGAATAGGCGAACTTTGACGATTAAATTGTGATATTGTAGCTTCTTTTATAAAAGTATTATGGTACACAATTTGACACGTGAAAGGAATTATATAAAGTAAATTTGTGTGTAGGTCAAAGAGACAAGAAAAATTAATCAAATAATAAAAACTTCTACCAAAATATTTCCTTTGTCATCCAGCAAGTCAAATTCTTTAGAACACTTTCTTGCGCAACGGAACCACAATAATGATGGTTCCATTTTACCCGGTATGAAACTTTTTTGGTTGTAATTGAATACCCGGTATAGAATTTACTGTAAGTCAATTACATATGCTTTTTGGTTCAATAATGCGAATAAATCCAACCAAAAACTAACATATTATATGGTCGTATTAATATCATAATACCTCCTAGTCAAATTCTTTAATAAACTTTCCTTGTGCAATAGTAGAAAATTTTTATTACCAAATAATTAAGGCAACATAATAACTCATTTAATACTTCAAAGAGTAAAGGGAATATGTTATTTAATGAGAGTGAAAGTTTAGGAATTATTTTTATTAAGTTTCCTTGGGTAAGAAATGTGAGAAAATTTAACCAATTAATTAAGGCAAAGTTTAATAACAAGTAATTGAAGAAAAATTTACCAAAAAATTCGAAAAACTAAATTAATTAAGTGATTTTTTTTAAATATTTATGAAATACTTAAATTACTATATTGTCCTATGGAAACTCTATGTTTTAAAGGATAAAAAACGTGAATGACATTTCGCTAATGACCTTCATGCTTTTAATATAATATAAATAGATATAGATATAGATTATATAAAGGGTTCAATTGCAAAACCATAGGAGAGATCATGAGTTCATGTGCCTCGTATATTAGTTTGACCACTTATATTACCGATCCCTACATTATAATTCTTGTATTATTAAGAGATATTGTCGTTTTTAGCCTACACGCTAGAAACTGTTTACATTTGGTAGCCGAAAAGAGTGTATAAAATTTGTATAATTTTTATATATAATATATAGAATGTATATATATAGAAAAAATATATATTTTCGGCTATTATTTTGAGAGCGACTATACATTTTTCGGCTATTATTAATCCTTACATTATGATCTCTGCAGTTTGATGCTCGCCAGTTCGATGCAAAAATCACTGAATTGTAAGAACAATTGCCTCTCTATAATTAGTTTGTTGCTTTTCAGTTATGATAATTTTCTTAGAACACGACAACAAACAACAATAACTACGTTTCAGTTCCAGATAAGTTGGAGTCAGCTATATGAATTCTCACTTTTTCGCAAGTCGTCAATAACAACATACCCAGTATATTGATAGAGGCATAAACAAAATTTATATTTTATGGATTCAAACCAATTATATTTTTAAAGTTATGGGTTCATATCTATCATATGTTATAAATTATTAATTTTTTGCACATAAGTTTATACTCTGCACTGAAAGTAGCGGGCCGGGTTCAGTTAAACCCGGTACCAAAGGGCGGGATCCGCCCCTGTCTGTGAATGTAGAGATATTGTTCTTGATAGACCTTCGACTAAAGAAAAGCATGACGCATGTCATCATGGCAGCAAATAATAACAATTAATGATAATATTAGAAGTTATCTAACAAGATTAAAATATAATTTTCTATGAAGATGAACATAATATCTTTTTATGTTATTTTTACCCTTTATGCTGCATTTTTTTTGTTGTTGCTATACATAGCGTGGATATTAACTTTTTTTGGTTTTGTGACTTCAGGCTTTCAGGTGATGGGCAAGAATTCTTTACCCCGTACGATGAGGTCTATGATAGTTTTGATGACATGGGATTAAAGGAAAATCTTGTGAGAGGCATTTATGCATATGATTAGTTGCAAATCTTTTCTACTATCTTGTTGTGCTTGACTAATGCATATACACATTACTCTAGTTACTATTAGGGCAGAGCTAGGAATTTAAAAGGGTAGCCTAGTGTACTAAACTTCCGTTATATGCGGGGTCCGGAAGAACCGGATCACAAGGGGTCTATTGTTCGCAGCCTTACACTGTGTTTCTGCAAAAGGCTGTTTCCACAGCTTGAACCTGTGACCTCCTGGTCACATGACAACAACTTTACCAGTTACGCCAAGGCTCCCTTCAGGAGCTTAGGAATTTGAGTAACCAAATTCAAAAATATTGTCACACCTAAGATATGAACATATGTCGCAAATAGGCAAAAACGATTCTTTTTTTATTATATATAAATTTTCACATCCCTTTACACGAGGGAAAATTCTAGTAAAGTTGCAAAATGGGGTTCAAGTTGCATTAGATCATAGATTCAAATTCCGGGTGTGATTGTCTAGTATTTTTTTGAACCCCTTGGTATAAATTTCTGGTTTCGCAGCTGGTCAAGGGAATTCAAATAGTTTATATATATTACTCTTTTTGTATAGAGTAACTGATGATGTCCATCTCATTGAAGAAATATTAGACATGTGCCTAATAAAAGTTTCTTTGGTTTGGTAGCCAACCTTGTTGAATTTCTTTGGTTTGGTAGCCAACTTTGTTGAATTGTGAAAAGTGTGTGTAAATTGTCAAATATTGTAGGCTTTAGAGAGTGAAGGATTGGCTATAAAAGGAGAGCTTCAACTCTCATTTCTCCACACCAACAAAGAGAGAAAGAAAGAGTGAGGTTTCACAGATAGGGTATAAGAAAATAGACTGTGAGGAAAATAGAGAGTGAGCGATATTGTAGTGAGGTGGGAATATCAAAAGAGAGTTATTTCTTTTGAGTGTTGTAGTGGTCTTTGAAGTATTTTACTCGGAGCTACAAAGTGTAAAATTCCGTACTATAGTGATATCAGTTGCTCCTCTCGGGGTCGTAGTTTTTTCCTTATTAAAAGGGTTTTCCACGTAAAAATCTTGGTGTCGCTGTTACTCTTTTATTTTTGTTAATTATCGTATCTCGGTGCTACATTATTATTCCTCTTTTATTACCGTGAATATTATTTCTGTGGGGGTTTATTCCCAATAGTAACTTTCCGGCAAGTTTGAACTTTTTGAATTCCCTTATTAAAATTCCCGACTCTGCTACTGATTTCGATATATATAGGTTTTGAGAAACCCTCTGCAATCCAGCAAAGAGGAATTGCACCCTTTTGCAAAGGTCTTGATGTGATACAACAGGCTCAGTCTGGAACAGGGAAGACTGCTACTTTTTGTTCTGGAGTTTTTAACCAACTTGACTATGAACTGCTGGAATGTCAACCTTTGGTTTTGGCTCCCACGCGCAAGCTTGCACAACAAATCGAGAAGGTGATGCGAGCACTCGGAGACTATCTTGGTGTGAAGGCACATGCTTGTGTGGGAGGAACCAGTGTCCGCGAGGACCAACTCGTCCTTTCAAACGGGGTTCATGTCGTTGTTGGGACGCCTGGCCGTGTATTTGACATGTTGAGGAGACAATCGCTCCGCCCTGATTATATAAAGATGTTTGTATTCATCGATGAAATGCTTTCAAGAGGCTTCAAAGATCAGGTTTGTTTTCTTTTTCAATGAGTTATCTGTGACATTTCGTGTCCTGTTTGTCCATACATGTTACTATATATGCCGAGGCGGAGCTAGCCTTTTTTGCTTACGGATTCGGCTGAAATCGGTAGTTTTTGTTCAGATCGTGTATTTGTCTTGTGAAATCCATGGAATAATGTATAAACTGTTAAGTTAGAACCCAATAACTTAAAAGAACTGGAATCGCGAACCTATAAGCTTCAAATTCTTGTTCCGCCTCTGTATATATCTATTGGTCACACAAGCAGAGGCGGGGCTTCGTGTATCAGTTATGGGTTCATCTAAACCCGGTAGCTTTGACTCAAATCTTGTATATGTTTAACTAGAAAATAGGAATTTCGGTCAAAGGTTAATTTTAAAAGAACGCGGGTTACTGATAATCAAACAAAGAAATAATTATGTAATAAAAAAAAGAATTGAATTGAAAAGTAGCTGAGTAAGCAAAATAAAGCAATGTAAATCAGTATATTCCAATAATAATCTGTGTCCCCGTACAAATGTTATTTCTCTCCTTTTATAGCAATTTCTAAGTACTACGTTTCTTCCCTCTCATAATAGAGCAATTAATGGCATTAATGTGATGTCATAATTGACAATCGTAACTGTTTCGTGAAGATTCTATAACGTTTCCCATCATTGATGCTCATTAATTACATATAATACGTATCTGTACTTTTTGCTAACTAGGTTCATTCCTCCGATGTCTCTTCAAATTATCAAGAGATCCGAGTAACCGTTCCTACTTGTTTTCTTGAACCTTTGCCCGTACCTATTAAGGATCGCAGCTCTTTGAATACTCTTTGCTAGTTGTCAGTCTTTTATTGATCCACATGTCTTGATATGTCAGCACACAATTAATTCCAAATGTTAACTCGATTTTCCCCAATACAGTATATGTAAAAGAATCAATAATAAGTACAAATAACAGACTTCAGACCTAATAAATCAACTGAACTTTGGTAGAATCTCAAACTCGAATACATAATATTTAAATCTTGGATCCGCTTATCCTGACACTAGGATGTGTCTACTATCTTTCTTATATTTGCTTTTGTGTGAAGGTTTTTCAATATGTACATTCACTGGATTTCTCAAGATGGCTTATTAGTCCAAATTATGCTCTCATAACTTAAGATGAATCTTCAGAGCTTTTGTAATGATTTTCTAATATTTATACCTCTTCTTTGTATCCAGATTAATGATATTTTCCAGCTCTTGCCTACTGAGATTCAAGTTGGTATTTTCTCTGCAACAATGCCACCTGAGGCCCTTGAGATCACAAGAAAGTTCATGAAAAATCCCGTGAGGATTCTTGTGAAGCGCGACGAGCTAACTTTAGAAGGTATCAAGCAGTTTTACGTCAACGTGGGAGAGGAAAGAGATAAGCTTGAAACACTTTGCGATCTATACGAATCATTAGCCATTACACAGAGTGTGATCTTTGTGAATACTCGTCGCAAAGTTGATTGGTTGACAGAGCAGATGCGCGAAAGAGATCATACGGTCTCAGCCACTCACGGTGACATGGACCGAAACACGAGGGACATAATAATGCGCGAGTTTCGTTCTGGTTCTTCTCGTGTTCTTATCAGCACGGATCTTTTGGCGCGAGGAATTGATGTTCAACAAGTCTCGCTTGTCATGAATTACGATCTTCCTACTCAGCCTGAGAACTATCTGCATCGTATCGGACGTAGTGGAAGGTTTGGTAGGAAAGGTGTGGCCATCAATTTTGTTACAAGGGATGATGAGAAGATGCTGTGTGATATTCAGAAATTTTACAATGTGGTGATTGAGGAGTTGCCTGCAACTGTTGCTGATCTCCTGTAACAAGATTTTTCTTGTTCATTATTTTCTTGCTTTGGTTGTTTTACATTTTTCTTCTAGTTTGAGTTGGAATTTTGTAGTCCATTATTATCTTATGCTGGTTTTTTTGACATTAAGGATTGTATCTGAAATACATTGTCTCAGAGCATTTGTTTAATATTACTATTATTCATATACATGCTTTAAACAGAACTTCTAGTCTGATAGATATGGTTATCAACAAAAGAAGGCATATAGTTCTATGGTATAAGGCAGCCCGGTGCATAAATCATCCCGCCTTTACACAGGGTTTCGAGAAGAGCCGCATCCAAAGAGGTGTGATGTAGATTTAGTTCTATGATATAAGGGCAGCCCGGTGCACAAAGCATCCCGCCTTTACACAGGGTTCCGAGAAGAGCCGCATCCAAAGAGGTGTGATGTAGATTTAGTTATATGATATAAGGGCAGCCCGGTGCACAAAACATCCCGCCTTTACACAGGGTTCCGAGAAGATCCGCATCCAAAGGGGTGTGATGTAGATTTAGTTCTATGATATAAGGGTAGCTCGGTGTACAAAACAAGGGTCCGGGAAAGGGCCCGTAACCCTTGGGTGATATGAGACTTATTTCTATGGTGTGACAACAATAATCAGCACTTCTTGCTCTGATAGAAATGGTTGTCAACAAAAGAAAGGGTACTTATTTCTATGGTATAATAACAATAATCATCCCTGCTTTTGTCTCTGAAGGATGTGGATGTAACTGAATTTGAAAAGTATAACTAGTAAATTTTTTGAGAAGGGAAAAAGGGTTAAATTTGCCTATGCACAATCAAAAATTGAGCAATTTTGTGCTCTGATAAACTTGTGGTCTAATATTACTTTGTCATCAGCAAAAATTTCATTTTTACCGTTGACCCCTAACAAAAGTTCCAACCTGAGTCTAATTTTAGATCATAGGTCAAACATTGGGTGATAAATTTGGACCTTTTTACAAAGAATTTGGACAAATGGAGTACACCAATTTTAAATGGACCAAAAATATTGTGGAAGGCAAAATTAAGCCTTTTTTCGGATAGTTTGGAGCGAATTTGGACCTCTTTCAAATAGGAATTTTCAAAAGCAAACACAAAAACCAAAAATCCACCTAAAGATTGGTTTAAACAAATTATGATGCACGTACAAAATATAACTAGATTAATAACTAGACGTATTGAAGATCTGACGAAAATAATAACTAACCTACTATGACAGGTTAAAATTCATAAATAAATTACGTTATATATAACTTATTTATGTGGTAATTATAGTGAATAAAATTATTTACTCATTAATTACTAATGAAAAGATTATTTTACATTATTTAATCGAAAAATATTTTTGTTTTGTTTTTAAATAGTTTCCCAATTACTATTCATATTAGTATTCCATTTAAATACTCCCTCCGTTCACTTTACTTGACACGTTTTGACTTTTCACGCCCCTTAAGAAATAATAAATGAAGTGTATAATTTACCATGATACTCATTTTAATTTATGCATATTTTATTGGATTTGAGATAATAATTTGAAACGAGTAATAAATATTATGTGCTAAATAAAAGTGAACGGAGGGAGAGTACCCTTAATAACCAATCAAACTTTTCATTAATTATTATGTGCTAAAATATTTTTTCTGGTGTGGGGAACCAAACGCAGGGTAAACGCGGGTATTTGTTCTGGAATTCCCATAAGAAACTTCCAACATTACAACAGATTGTCGTCACGTTCTTCTCGAAACTAACCTTTATGGCTCCACACGCCTCTCCCTACGTATATTCCTTAACAATACATACATATAACGAAAAACAGTTCATTTACATCTAAAGTTAAAAACCCGCCTTTTTTTAGCACACGCTTATCTCCATATAATATACTATATACATATAAACTTCCCTTGACTATTATTCATCTTCTTTCTACACTATCCTTTTCAATTTCTAGTCAAATTCGTTGTTTCTGTGGAAAGTTCCATCAATTTTCTGGTGATTTGTAGAAGTAATAAAGCGAGATCGATGACGATCACGGAGTCGCCGGAGAGTCTTACGTCGTCGAGCGACGATAACAGCAACCTTCGAAGGCGACGTAGCGGTGGTGCTAAAGCTGTGGAGGATGTGACGGAGTCGGATTCCAGCTCCGCGATGGAAGCTTCTAGTAGCTCGGATGACGTAACAGGTGACGTCGGAGATGGCAAGTTCAGTGATGGAAATGAAATTCAGGAGGAGAAGGTTGAGAATGAGGAGCAGAGGAAAGCAACTGAAACGACGCCGTTGAAATATGTTTATAGAGCGTCGGCGCCGGCTCATCGGCGAATCAAGGAAAGTCCTCTCAGCTCCGCTGCCATTTTCAAACAAGTATGCTCTTTTTTCTTACTGTTTTGACTTAATTTTCTCTAATAATAGGCTTATTTGTTTTTTGGTTGAACTCAACTAATGGAAGAGTGTTAAAAGGTAAATAGGATAGAGTCAAAGTTCCTAGGATTTAAGTTGTATACATTGACCTTGTACACTATCAATAACAATAACAGATTATTACTTACCGTTTATTCTAGGTTAATAATTAATACTATTAAATAAAGTTACCTGCAATTACGTTTAAAGTATCTGCACTATCATGCATATAACTTAAACTCAAGTTAGAATGGAATGTAAGTTTTGAATGTGAGGTACCTTTTGATCATTTTGTTCATTGCACCACTCGCTAATCAAGAAGTCAAATTTTTTTTTAGCAATGTTATTGGCTGTTGATTGGCATTTTGACCTGCAGAAAAGGATGGTTCTTCTGTTCAGTAGACCTTTTTTGTTGTCTTTTTAGCCTCTAGCACCAAAAATCTTAAGAATACCTTCCCATTAAATAAAGCATGAGAGTTAGGTTCAAGTAAATATCTGAGTACCATAATGCTGAGTAATCAGGTGAGGTATGTGTATTATGGTATTATGAAACGCAGTTTGGTGTATGACCGAAGCCAGCTTGTTCAGAAGAAAGCTTCTGCAAGGATGAAAATTTCTGCTAGAAATGATAAACTGTTGCACAAAGGGCAATAATTTTGTTTTGTCTTACACTTACTTCAAGCAATAACTATCTCCATTATTAGTTGGAAACTTATGCTGGTATCCAGCAGGTTGCTAATACTGGGAGCTGCAACTACGTTGATGTGCTCAATTCGATCTCAAAACCAAGGCCTCTATGAAATCTCATAAACTGGCTATTGTTACCCTCATCAGAGAACAAAGAAATTTTGTTAATAGGGTTATGGCCCTTCATGATGGAGGAACATGTCATTTACAATGAAGCCCGGTTTCTAAGATTTGGGGACAAGATATCTGGAATAGATGCTGAGTTGATCTAACACTTGGTTTGATAACAAACAGGAGCTTTTGCTAGCAGTTGAATTTATAAAATTATATGCCTGTTGTACTGTGCTTAATTATTGGATGGAAAAACAGTGCGTGACTCCGCAAGAATAGAGTTGGCACATACTGATTTTTATTCATTACCGACGTTCACTAATTGTTCATAGACTAACCAAGACAGTGGAAGTTAACAACCTTTGGTGTACACAATCTCAAATTTGTATTATTTGTTGTTGCATTTCAGGTGTCTTACGAGTGATATCTACCATAGTTAGTCTGAATTCCCCATAATTAAGTGGTTGTAGAGCTCTTTTTCTAATTTAGTTCGTGCATCTTGTTGTAGAGTCATGCAGGCCTACTCAATCTCTGTGTAGTGGTGCTTATTGCCGTAAACAGCAGGCTGATTATCGAAAATTTGATGAAGGTACATTTTGTTTCTCTAATGTCAGTCCTCTGTTCCATTTGTCTAGAGAGTGGAAACCTTCCCGAGTATGATGCATATTTATCGACTTCAAAAGTTCCTCTTAGGGGTGGCAATGGGGCTGACCAAACAAAGTGAAAAGTTGAGAATTGTGATGTCTTTATAAAAACAATAAAAGGAAATCATAGGGTATGTTCTCCAAGGCCCCTATGTGTTGAGTTGTCATTGCAGATTGATGAATATGTATTTGAGTTAACGGCTAGTGAGGAACCCACACCATGATCTCAGTATGCTGTGTTCATGTAAGTCTTGGGAGAATTTCCACCATTAAATCTATCGGGAAAATTGAAAAGACTAAGGTTTTAAAATCCAAATAGATACCAGGAAAATCTGGAAAGAGAAGCGGGGAAAATGCGTTTTGAAGAATCTGATGGAATGAGAACCTTGCCAATTGCGATTAGAATCATAAATTTTTGGGATGTTATAAAACTTGAAAAATGTCAGAAAAATTGGTGGGGAGGGGGAGAGGAACAAGGTGAGATGGCACATTATCATAGGGAAAAGCACAGTGGGGCCGAGACGTGGCAGTTGAAGCCTCATCCCATCTAAACCCGCCCAACCTGCCCTGTTGCTGTCTCTAATCCCTGTAACTTTTTAGTAGCAATTGGGTTATGAGATATGACTATATTTCAGAGGGTTCTAGTTTTCATTTTGCACATAACAGACTCTTGACTACTATTGCAGTATGGCTTGTTAATTGGCTCTGGCTTCTGGTTTAGTTCAACATCATTAAGAGATTGGCCACTTCTGCTGTGTTGGTAGTATTCTTAATCCCTTTTTTAATCTGGTTTTTATGCTGACATTGTTGAAGATAAAATATTATAAGTTGTTGGTGTGCTTGCAGTCTTAGTCTCCCCATTTTCCCTCTTGCTGCTTTTCTTGTCGAGAAGCTGGCACAGAAGAAGTATATGGCTGAACGTGTAAGTCAGAGTAACCTCTTGTTTTACCTTCATCTTATGGTAATCCTTCCATATCAAGGAAAAGAGTCTGCTCAGACATGGATGAGTCACAGTCTTCAAGAAGATTTACACTGGAATAATTCTGGCTCTTGTGACTTGTCCTTCCTGATGTTGTCAATCTTTGAACTCATGTTACTTTTTCTTGTTTTTTGACTTTAAGTTTAGCAAGTAAATTTTCTAACTGATCTCGCAGGTAGTTGTCACTCTTCACATAATTATCACAACAGCTGCCATTTTGTATCCAGTTATGGTCATACTCAGGTTTGTCCTTATTCTGTGGTCATGAAACTTTGATAAACACATCCTCTTAAGAAGCTGCTCAGTCGGCCTTCACTGGCGGGGTCTGTGTGTGTGTATTATACAATTGAGACATTGTTATGATAGAATTTGGTGAATGTTAAAAAATGCGCTATTATCTGGGTTTTAGAAGTTGTTGCTTATGAATTGATTTTAATTTCTATGTTGGATTTCCGGTTAAGAGGTCGTCTTTAAACATTAAGCGGTTGCATGTATGGATTGTTAAGGAAACATTATAGATGAATTAGGTTGGAAAATTAGAAAGTTAGTAAAAGAATCATTGATCTGAATTAGAAATTTGTTGCATGGACAAGGGGACAAGTGAGTCATTGCTAATTCAGAGATTTAAAATGATTTTTGAACTTAAAATGACATTGTTTTTACTTCAAATATATCAACAAATTGCAGCTTTTTAATTCTTTGGTCCATGTAAAGATTGTTTATATAGAATTATCATTTCTGTGTTACATAAACATATTTTTATTTTTATTTTCATTGCGCTTTTCTTCACTATAGCTAGTGGTTGCCTCAAGTCCGACAGACACATGGTGCTTTTCAACGCTTTTTGCCTTTGATTACACTGGGTCAGATAGTGGCCTGTTGAAACTCAGTTGAAATTTAAATTGTGAGGAGAGAATCTTCAACAATGTTTCCATACTCTATTTTGATGATAATATACATTGAAAAACTAATGAGTCAAAAGTATTTTAAATTTCACAGGTGTGATTCTGCTTTCCTAGCGGGTGTCACATTGATGCTGTTTGCTTGCGTTGTGTGGATGAAACTGGTTTCTTATGCACATACAAGTTATGATATGAGACAGCTTGCGGAATCCGTAGATAAGGTATGACTAGTTTATTCTTTGTTGTGGATCCAAAAAATCTGATTCATTCCCCGTGGAAATGTTCAACTTTTCTATTTAAACGATGGTACTCTTGCTGGTATTCTGCTCATCTGAGGGATGTCGCAACTATGAAGTCTGTCGTTTTATGTTTTTAAATGATTTCAGGGTGAAAATTCAGATATCAACTACTCTTATGATGTTAGTTTCAAGAGTTTGGCTTACTTCATGGTTGCCCCAACTTTGTGCTATCAGGTAGGATCAGTTAATCCTTCTGAAGTTGTTGTCACTGATTTCATCCCTGTCAGAGTGTTTACTACAACTGCATTACAGATCAGTGTCTTGTGTTTCTCTAGATTCACCAAGATTTCATTTAGATAACTCTGTCGAGCAGTTTAGTTCGAAGTTTGAAAAAGTCCTTTGTGTTCTTTTTTCCGCCGAGTCTGCATGGATTTAAAGAGATTGTAGGTCTTTGATGCTAGTAACTTTCATGTGATTTTATTGCCAAGTATGTGGTTTTTTATTCCAGAATCGTCTCTGTGCTATTAGGGAGACTATGCTTAAAACCCTTTTTTTCTCTTCAAGTTTTGTGCTGAAGCATGTCCTGGCCCTGAAGTATTCATATGCATGTTAAATGATGAATGAAGCAATTGGATGTGTCTAAATTATGCTAAAAAGATCAAATTGGAGCATCAAATATTGCTATGGTCCATGGACAGATTTTTTCAGCCACGCGCATATATTCTTACGGAGATATAATTAGTATACCGATCTGTTTATGTCCACAAATACTTGTTTTTCGTACTTTAAAATAGTTGAATGTGGTCTCCGCAAATGCAATGGGGCTACAATTAGGGAATACTAGAATTGAAGCCCCTCTGGTCTTTTTCCCGTGGATTAGGTCCCATCCCTTTCACAGTAGTAGGAAATCATTATCATCACTAATCTGACAAAATTTTGAACTTTTTATTAACTTTCTCTTACTGTTTGTTTCATCAATTCATTAGTTTTTGGATATGTTTATTTTGTTATCTGAAGCTTAGCTATCCTCGCACTGCATGCATTCGGAAGGGGTGGCTGACACGCCAACTCATCAAGCTGGTAATTTTTACAGGATTTATGGGATTCATCATTGAACAGGTAACTTCTCTTTAGCTTGACAATTCAATGCCACCCTTCTCTCCGGGCAAAGTAAACTATATTAAACTTTGCATCTTAATGCAGTATATTAACCCAATTGTGCAAAACTCACAACATCCATTGAAAGGAGACCTTTTATACGCCATCGAGAGGGTATTGAGGCTTTCACTTCCAAATTTATATGTCTGGCTCTGCATGTTCTACTGCCTCTTTCATCTTTGGTATGCCTCTAAATTTGATTTATAAATTTAGTTTGCTTTTGAATTTATTTGTAGATTATTGTCTTTCTTGCCATATTTTTTAATGTCCAATCTTATTTGCAAGATATTTATAATGTGTAGTAAAAGTGTTAGGAACATTCTTGCTGTGTATTTGTCATCACGCTTTCCTGTATTTCATTTCAGATATGTTTTTCTAAACTTTTCCGTGTCACTTTTTAACCATTTAAAGCGCAAATCACATTATCCATCTTAAAAAAAAAAACAGATCACATTATACTTGAACTGGATTGTCTAAATGTTGTGAGTGCTGACTAGAGGGGATGAAATATTGAAGGATCGAAGGTGCAAAATGGGATGGGAGGTGCTTAATGAGCCTGAATGGTTTTAATCCAGCAATGTTTTTCCCCTCCTTTATATCTATCCAAAGACCAACACATAGGTAGCTGCCTGTTAAATGCCGGAGCTGAAACTTGAATGGGTATACTGCAAGACTAGATAAAATTCCTATGAAAGAAGAGTGTGCATTTAAGTTCTGAAACCGAATGCTAACTATTAAGATATTGATTCATATTAGAACTCATACCGCAATCGGGTTTTGGAATTATGTTTTCTTCGTCAAAGGCCAAAGTCTGCGCCTGATGTTTGCATTGATGGTGTATTTTTATGTTAGTTATGTAATTGCTTTTATGAGATTCGATGTTATTATTTCATGCTCTATAATGAAATAAAAGAAATTTGTCCATCCAGACCAGTTCATGATATCACCATGGTGAATTTGTAAAGTTTATGTTTATCAAGAACGAATCTGTGAAAGTCCATAAAGACTTCATTGGGGTTAGAGTTTATCTGTTTTCTGCACTCCTAGTAATGGATCTCTTGTTAAATAATGAGAAGCTTCACATTTCAGGATAAAACGCTAGAACTTATTCTGTTACATCTGAATAATTACTAAAATAAATATATGGATTATGTGTTCTAGCACTGCAACAGAATGAGTAATATTTACAGAATACATTTCTTTGTAGGCTAAATATACTTGCAGAACTTCTGCGATTTGGGGATCGTGAGTTCTACAAAGATTGGTGGAATGCAAAAACTATTGATGAGGTAGATTAAAATATCACACTGCCTCGTTCTTTTTGCTTCTGCATCCCAACAATTCAGATCTTGCTAGGGTTCTCATTTGTTTCTTTTTTTGTGGTTGTACCACTGTGGCTGCTGTTATCAGTATTGGAGACTCTGGAATATGGTATGTAATTCTACCTTCTTTTTATGTTATTGCCTGATATTTATGCATGCAAAAAATGTGTTTGTCTTAGTTACCTGGAAGTGGAACTTTCAGAAGACTATTGATGTTTCAGTCTTGTGATAAATAGCATTACGAATCCTATTTTGGACTGCTCAGTTTTGCTTTGGGGTAAATTTTGCATTAACACAAACTGATGTTATAGTGTCTAGCTTGATTTTGGACATATGCGAACCTATTATAAGAGAAATCCTCCCTGTTTCGGGTTGTCTGGCTAGCTCTTGAGAAGACTTGAAATGTCTGACATTCAATGAGTCTCTGAAGGATGAAAGTGGCAATCCGGCAAAATCTCTCAAGATAAGAGAAACCACCCTGGGGGGTTGTGTTATGCACTTATTTGGCCAGCGAGTATATTGGCAAATGACTGTTCCATATACGGCTATGCACACATGTGGGCAGCGAGCACATTGAGAAATGACTACTCATTGCATCCTGTAGGTAGTAGCATACTTGCTTGTGTGCGTCTGTCTCCAGAGGC